CTAGGCATACAGCCTACCCTCAAGAGGAATTTGTTTCCCCAATGAGACTCCCTTGGAAGAAATTAAATTTTCATTTGCATGTAGTTATCAGTTGGAGATAGCTTCTGGGTTAGAGATGGGGACATATGCCTACTTCTCTGTTCAACTCTAGGACCTGGGACAGACCTGTGCAGACCCCATGCATGCTGTCGCAGTCTCTGTGAGTGCCTGTGCCCACCTATCCTCTTGATATTAGGGCCTTGTTTCACTGGTGTCCTCCATCCACTCTGGCACTTCCACTCTTTCTACTTCCTCTTCCACAGGGTTCGCTGAGCACTGGGGGGAGGGATTTGATGGAGACATCTCTTTTAGGACTGAGTGTTCCAAGGTCTCTCACTCTGCATAATGTCTGACTGTGGGTCTCTATATTTGTTCCCATCAGCTTCTGTGATGATGGCTGAACAAGGTACTAATCTATGAGTATAGCAAAATATCATTAGGAGTCTTTTTGTTGCTACTCTTTTAAAGAGTAACAGCATTTGATTTTACCCTAGTTCTCTGGGCTATGTAGTCCCAAGTTCTTGGTCATGCAAACATGGTCAGGTATGGGTCCCATCTCAGGGAATGTCCCTTCAGTCAAATCCGATACTGGTTGATTATTCCCACAATATGCTACCAGTGCACCAGCATACCTTGCAGACAGAAGACCAACATTGTAGGCCAAAGGGTTTGTGGCTTGGTTGCTGTGTACAACTTTCTTATGGTAGTCTCCAGAGTTCCCTGTACCAAAGATGCTGACATGGAAGAGTGAAGGCTCTATGTCAGCAACAACTCTACTTATCTGTGTTCTTTGAATTGTGAGTACATCATTCCAAACAATGTGGTCTTGTTTTAGGTTAGAGCAAGCTATAGTCTTCGCAACAGCCTACCTTGTTTGGAGATTCCCATAGGACCCTATTAGCAAACAATTCAACTAGATATAACCCAGTCCTGGTACTGGAAGCTTCATTTGATGACAAGAGATGGCTGGTGGGGATCTGTCTTCCCCCATTGTTTGCTGGTTTCATTTAGATTGCATTCATATGTTATATATTTTAGGAAGCTGCTACTATGTTAGGTTTTCAAACTACCCCTCAAATGCCCCTTAATTTTAGCTGTTTTACTCTATATTTTCTTCTCCCCCACCCTCCTCACCTCTATTCACCTCTATTTAATCTTCCCATTCTAGTCCCTTACGCATCCATCCATAACTATCTAATATATTTTCCTTTTTTAGGGGGCTCAGTCTGTGACACCACAACTCCCAACACACACACACACACACACACACACACACACACACACAGTCCTTTACCATATACCTAGCCTCTTTGGTTCTATGGAGTATAGTTTAGTTATCATTGATTTGACAGCTAGTATCTACATATAAATGAATACATAGCACATTTGTCTTTCTGGGTCTGGGTTACTTCACTCAGGATGATATCTAAAAATAAAGATACTTTGACATTTTTTTTCTTTCCAATTTCTATCCCCTAAATCTCCTTCAGTTGTCTCAGTGCTCTAGCTAAGATTTTAAGTACTTTATTGAATTAGTAGTGAAGAGAGATGACAACCTTGTCTTGTCCCTGATGTTAGTAGAATTGTACTACTCTTTGTTAGATCTTTATAGGGTTTGTTTATCAGGATAACACTGGGTTCATAGTATGAGTTGGGGGCAGTGCTCCTTATGTTTCTATTTTGTAGAATAATTTGAGGATCATTATCATTAATTCTTCTTTGAAAGTCTAACCCTTTGGCTTTTTTTTTGGTCGTGAGACTTTTAAATACAGCTTCTATTTCACTAGTGGTTATAGATCTGTTTAAATTGCTTAGCTGATCTTTATTTTTTATATCATATCCCCTTATTTCTTTTTTTCATGATATTTATTGAGCTCTACATTTTTTCTCTGCTCCCCTCCCTGCCTCTCCTCTTCCCCTTTCAATACTCCCCCAAGGTCCCCATTCTCCCAGTTTACACAGATAGCACAGGCTCTTCCTTCTTTCTCCATGCATTCAGTTTAGTTTTTCCACCTTGAATTTTCTGCCTTACCATAGTCCAAAGTGACTTCTTTATTAACCAATGGTTATAAAACATATCCACAGCATACAGAGGGGAATCCCACATCACCTCCTCATTTCTTTCTAAATAAAAAGGAAGATTTTAACTTTAACATAGTAAAATTACATATAACAAAATAGGTATCAAGCAAGAATTACAGTTACAGTATTTCTTTGTGAGTCTAAAGTTTCATATCTAATTTTTTATTATAACTAAAGAAAACTATAACTATAGCTATCTGTCTTAAACTCCTTAAAAGACCCCAGAATGATATAATATTGCCTAAGTAAGCAGGAAGTGCATTGTAAGCAACTTCCAAAATTCTAGAATTGACAGAGACATCTTGCTGCCTGGTCAGTCACCCAAAATTCTTCTGTAGTATTGGGGCATCCAGCTTCAACCTACAGGCACATAGTATCTGGCAAACTTTTCCATTAAGCAGGAAATTTTAAAGATAATTCTGCCTTTATTGGCAGATTGTCAGTCACTTTCTCCTGTGTCCTGCAGAATGTCTGACAGACTCTTTCATGAAGCAGGAACGCTGAAAGACTGTCTCACCTTCTTTTGGCAACTTCAGCAGTCATTTTTTCTGTGGGTCCTGCATGTCCAGTTCATACAGCATACCATCAAAGCAGTCCAGGCAAGAATAGTTACTTTACCAAATGCCTAGCCTTTTCACATTGAAGGCAAATTCCGTAACAAGTTTCTTTAATGCCATCAACCTCTCTGAAGTAATTAGTGTTGCCAGAAGCAGACATGTTTCACTGTCAAGAAAAGTCTAAGTTCTTAAAACATTTTAAATGACATATTCTGTAGGTCTTTGAAGTGTTGAAGATTATCTATCTAATCGAAATATATCTCTGTATAGCTAGAAAACCTAACCAACCTGGCTATAAGTTTGACTATTATAAATGACTATTTATTAATCTGTAATTTTTAATTATATATTATTTTTTAAATTATCTATATAAACATACCTTTAAAAAGAATAGAAATATACATATAACAAAATTGACCAAAATTTGTATCAATAAACCAAATTCTATACCAATGCAAAGCATTCAATCTCTGTATCATAGCCCCCTTATTTCCATTAACCATTTATAACAGCCCTTTTAAATGAAAATAAACATTTATAAACAATCATTTTTGGAATTTGGGCATTTTTTTCTCCAAATTGCTTTCTTCTTTTGTTGGGTAAAGTAATTTTAGGAGACCTTTTGGGGTTCTTGTTCCATCAAACCACATTAGCCTGGAAGGAATCCACAGGTTCTCATCTTCTAGGGAAACAAAAGTAGAACCTCTTTTTCAAAATAAGATATCCTTTGACTCAAATTTTAAAGTGAAGATACCTTTAAAATATATATGTGGATTTAGCTTAGCAGCCCTCAGAATGAAAAGTCTCTCTGCAGTCAAAAAATTTAAAGAAAACACAATAACATACATAATCCAGACTCTCTGTGTATATTCCATCTTTTCGTGGCTTATTTTTTACTCTATTACTTTTTAATGTTTATTTTGTTATCTTTATGCTTTTAATATATGACTGTCTATACCCTTTTATATTACTTTTACTGTCTCTTTAAAGGTTTTGTTTTATTTTTTAAAACTCTATAACTGCCTACACCCATTTTTTTTCTTAAGTCTATGTACATACATTTCTTAAACACTCTGTGACCCATTCAGAAGTTTATTTTTGTCTAAATTTGTCTTTAATGTGTATCTATAATCATTTTCTGACCAGGAGCGCTTTTTTAAAAAGAGCTAAGTGGACGTGGCTTAGTCACCCTGTGACTTTGCCTGCTAGCTTCGCCCCATCCAACATAGTATAGTAGAGGTATGTTCACAGCCTCTGTGAGCCATACTCACCACAACAGCTCCAGAGACACAGTGGTTCTATGTTGCCGTTAAGCAACTTGTACCATTCTGCTCACAAACCTTAAGTTCCCTGTAGAAGGACCTCCTGAAAGAGTCAGAGCCATTCATGCTACCAGTATGAACCAGGAAGCTGTTTCTTAAAGGAGCCACACCTCTACTTGTAACCTGCGAACAGAGCCTATCTGGAAAAAAAAAAATGTGGCTTCCAAGAAGCTTTGCTTGGTTCATGTTTTTGTAAGTCTAGATAGTGGGTGGCATTTGTAGGAAATAACTGCACCTAACTTTCCTGGATTCCAGACCCAAATAATGACACAGAAACTATATTAATTACAAGACTATTTGACCAACGATCCAGGCATATTTCTGGCTAGCTCTTACATCTTAAATTACCCCTTTTCATCTATTTATCACCATGAGGCTGTGCCTTACTGGTAAGGTTCCAGCATCTTTTTTCTTTGACAGCTACATAGCATCTGCCTGACTCCACCTTCTTTCTCCATGTATTCAATTTAGTTTTCTCACCTAGCTCTATTCTGCCCTGCCATAGGGCAAAGCGACTTCTTTATTAACCAATGGCAATAGAACATATTTACAGCACACATAGGAGAATCCCACATCATCTCCCTTTATCAGTTACCTGGGCTTTTTCCTGCGCATGTTTTAATATTCTTTCTTTTTTGTGTATATGTACTATTTTGATTATCACATGCGGGGGAACTTTTTTTTTCTGATACACTCTATTTGATGTTCCTTTTAGTTCTTTTCATACTTGATAGGCATCTTCTTTAGGTTAGGAATATTTTATTACGTGATTTTGTTATTGTTTTGTTGAAAATATTTTCTGTATCTTTGACCTGTGTTTCTTCTCCTTTCTTTCTTACTATTACTCTTTCATCTGGTCTTTTCATAGTGCTCATTATTTTCAGAGTAGTTCTTATAAATACTAATCAACTATTAACAAACAGAGATGATGACTCTGACTAACTTGGTTTTTTGAAAGTTATAAGTCCTTATTTTAGACTTTGTCTTTTCTTCCTTACAGAGATGATGAAGAGAAAAAAAAATCTCCCTCAGAAGGTACTGATGAGAAGGCTAATGGAACACACCCAAAGACTATCAGTCGTATTGGGAGTACAACTAACCCATTTCTGGACATTCCTCATGACCCAAATGCTGCTGTATACAAAAGTGGATTTTTGGCTCGCAAAATCCATGCAGATATGGATGGAAAGAAGAGTAAGCATTGCTGATTATTATTTCCTGTTTTGTTTATTTCTTTAGGCTCAAATTTTGAAGTGAATTTATGTGAAATAAAATCAAGGATAAAGAAAATTATGTTTATGTAAAGAAGTATTCTTTATGTTAGGCATCCAGTCATAAATCAGAGATTCACTTTTGTACCTGATCTTTTCTTCTTTTTTTTTGTTTTTTTGTTTTGTTTTGTTTTGTTTTTCGAGACAAGGTTTCTCTGTGGTTTTGGAGCCTGTCCTGGAACTAGCTCTTGTAGACCAGGCTGGTCTCGAACTCACAGAGATCCGACTGCTTCTGCCTCCCGAGTGCTGGGATTAAAGGCGTGCGCCACCACCACCCGGCTGTACCTGATCTTTTCAAAGTCATTTCAAAACTGTACAAATGGAAAACCACTCACAGACTATTCATTTCCCTGGTTCTCAGTCATTTGTGTATCCATGGCTTCAATACTATGTAGCATTGAGTGTGATGGGCACAGACCCTGTCTTTGTGGATCTACATTTCTGGTGGTTGGGGAAAGGTTTTATTTGTAGCACACAGAATAATCAGTGGCCTTTGATAAGATGAGAAGGGTAAGAGCAAGGGAGATTCATGTGATTAGTATTGGGACACGGAACGAATCATATTGGTGGCTTCTAATTTCTCTGTGTATCACAAAGTGTGACTGTTAGGTAGATAAGTGCTGTTTGGAATTTGAAATAAGAGTATGTGTTCACATAGTTATAATAATCTTTGGACAGAGTGAATAAACAGTTTGTTGTAGCTAACAGGCTAAGGCAAGATTTATGCATTCTCAAAATTAGTAGACTTTACCTCCTGGGTGTCTCTGCCTTCCTACAGACACAAACATGGAGTGAAGGAGTGGGCAGCTTTGTGTTTGTGACTGGACACTTTTCTCACAGTATTACCATATTCAGTTAAATTGCAGTTGGGAAAAGTCCCGTGGGCAGTGGCATTGACACTGTCTTATATTGCTGAATGGATTTCTTAATGATTCAATGATCCAGGAGTACCTCTTCCGCATTTCCTATATATGTCATACACTAGCCAGACAGGCCTAATTCCTTTGACAACATTGTTTGGTCCGTTTAGTTCCAAGCGACACCAATTAAAACTAGCTTGTGAAAAAGACAAGCCTGAAGAAGAAAGATTCCTACCACTGCACACTTTTCATTTATACTCCTGGGTAACTTTGTATGTGTTAGCTGTAGTGTTTCAAATTATCTTGTTATGCAGCTGGATATATGACTCTTCCAGCTGCATATAAATCAATATTGACAGTAAAGAGCTTTCTAATTATTTCTTACTTTTAGTATGTTATAGGGTAGAACTTTTTTTACCTGAAGAAAAGAAACACTGTGACTGGCAGTAGAAAGAGAAACATCCCTTAGGAAAGAGTATGGTGCAGGTCTCAGAAAAGGAGATGTTGGCAGTTATCAGTAGACAGTCATCTGTAGACAGTCATCCGTAGACAGTCATCCGTAGACAGTCATCCGTAGACAGTCATCCGTAGACAGTCATCCGTAGACAGTCATCCGTAGACAGTCATCCGTAGACAGCCATCCGTAGACAGCCATCCGTAGACAGCCATCCGTAGACAGTCATCCGTAGACAGTCATCCGTAGACAGTCATCCGTAGACAGTCATCTGTAGACAGTGATCCAATGACAGTCATCTGTAGACAGTCATCCGTAGACAGCCATCCGTAGACAGCCATCTGTAGACAGTCATCTGTAGACAGTCATCTGTAGACAGTCATCCGTAGACAGTCATCCGTAGACAGTCATCCGTAGACAGTCATCCGTAGACAGTCATCCGTAGACAGTCATGACTGTAGACAGTCATCCGTAGACAGTCATCCGTAGACAGTCATCCGTAGACAGTCATCCGTAGACAGTCATCCGTAGACAGTCATCCGTTGACAGTCATCCGTAGACAGTCATCCGTAGACAGTCATCCGTAGACAGTCATCCGTAGACAGTCATCCGTAGACAGTCATCCGTAGACAGTCATCCGTTGACAGTCATCCGTAGACAGTCATCAGTAGACAGTGATCTGTAGACAGTCATCAGTAGACAGTCATTTGTAGACAGTCATGCCTTCATTTTAGCCTGTATGTGCATCCCTAGGAATGCACCAAATAGAAATAACCTGTTAGTTAGCCAAACATGTTTTAATTTCCTTTTACAGCAACACATACACCATTTTCTCTGCAAATTACTATACAGTTTTCATCTTCAAGGTACTGGGTATAGATGAAACTGTTTCTTCCAGTCAGATTTTTACATAGTTTCAGTTCATGAGCTAAATACAGAGACACATCTGGTATAACTGGTGAGAGTTAATGGAGATTTATAAACAAAGAGAAACAGAGTAAGTCCCTTTTAGAATGTCTGTTCAGGAAACTATTTTAAAATCCAAGGTGTTGGCACATGCTACAACCCCAATATTTAGGAGGCAGAGGCCAGAGGAGCAGGAGTTTAAGACCTGCCCAGCTCCATAGTGAGTTAGTTCATGGGCAAACCAGACTACATAGGGAGTTATGCTGCATCTACAAGTATGTATGTGTGCCAGCACCACTTAGTTCTCTGAAGACAGCATTGCTATATGTTCATGACCAGACCAGATTCCTTACTGAGTTACATTACATCTGAGAGAACATATGTATAAGAGTACCACCTTGTTCTCTGAGGACAACAATGTTGTATGTCCTTAATAAGAAAAGACTTGTGCCAAAATTCTACTGAGAGATTAAACATTACCTTTTCTTGAAAAGATCACCTGTTCATTCAAGATTTGATATCTTTTAGTTTTTAATTGTTTTATGGGCTTAAGCTTTTTAGATTATGTATATAATTTTTTATATAAACATATTTTAAACCTCGAAGTTTTATTTCATTTTCAGAATTTGTACCTCCAGGAAACAAATAATGATTTGAGTCAAGTGTTTGTATTTCCCACAGAAGTGCATGTGTTCACCAGAACCAGTTTGTATCTCCCATAGAAGTGCATGTTCTCTGGAACCATTAAATCTGACATTGAGGGAAAGCTTTGGAAAGTGAAATTGGAATTTGTTATTTTGTCAGACAGAATTTTAAAAAGGATATGAACTCTTGTTTTACCAGTTTGTTGTTACTTGTGGGAACCAAGAAAGTGATTACATCCTCAAAATACATTCCTCATGATCAAAGTCAGTAATAATTTAACACTAATAAAAATTGCTCAATATTCAAACTTTCTCCCAACCACTTCATATGTGAAGCAAGTGCTCTCATCCACTTGCAGGTAAATGAAGTCATCTGACCCAACTTAGCCCAAGCTTTATCTAGTACAGAGTGATAGCATAGCAGACAAAAATCTGATTCTAGCTAACTGTAGCTTATTGTTAAAAGGAATTTGTATGAGAGATATCCCTGGAAAACAATTGAGTTCTGCATGTCTTCTGGTGGGGACAGTCTGTAACTTGTATGATATGCATCTAAATTGCAATCTTCGCTGTTTAAACACTGAAGTGCATGAATCCAGGCAACCATTTCCTTTTGACCAGGAACTTATAGCCTTGTGCCAGGCCTCCTCACAGTAATTGCTGCTTTTCTGTCCCCAGCCATTTGTTATCATGATGCCCTCAGTTCACTGACATGATGTATGAGTAAGGTAAAGTCATATGTTATAACACATTTCTATCTTTTGGTAAAAATGTGGACTAATGAAGTACTTAAATAATTTTATTTCGAAGTCCATGTTAGATAGGGTACAGGTAATTAAGCCTCCTCCAGAACCTAAGACTATTATAAGATTATATATATATTATAGATAATATATAAAGATTTATTAGACACAAGCTGTACCCCCAAAGCAGTTACATATGTACTGTGTAGAAAGGAATTACAGTTTGATTAGTGAGTATAAACATATTACTGATTACAGTGTCAACTGAATTATGTCATGAAATATTAAAAGTTGAGGGAAGGAAGAGTACCGTGGGCAGCCTGACGTTCCCATGTAATTAGCAATAAACAGCCCAATAGAGTGGAAGAGGGAAGACAAAAGCAGAGCTCTCCAGTACTTCTGGAAGGCTTTTGTTTTATATAAGAAGTCATTTATGCAATAAAAAAAGCAAAATTCGCCAGGCAGTGGTGGTGCACGCCTTTAATCCCAGCACTTGGGAGACAGAGGTAAGCGAATCTCTGTGAGTTCGAGGTCAACCTAATACAAGATCTAGTTCCAGGACTGCTATGGCTGTTACACAGAGGAGCCCTGTCTCAAAAACCAAAAAGAAAACGAAAAAAAGAAGAAAAACTCAAAATACTTTTGTAAATGGTTCTGAGACTTGTATGTGTGTGTGTGTGTGTGTGTGTGTGTGTGTGTGTGTGTGTACTACAGGCATGCGCCCTGTGTATGTGTATATTCATGTGTGCTCTTTACGTGTGTGGGTATGCAATGCATCTGTACCTCAGTTCTAATGTGAAAATCATTGCCTTATAGATAAAAGTAAGAATTCAAGAAACATAGCTTTAAGGTTTTTAGAAGTATGGAACAGTACTTTATAACCCTTGAGTAGAGGATGCTTAAAACTTAGAAAATCACAAACAATAGAAAAAACATTGATCCATCTATCAATATATAGATATATAAGTATATAGATAAATGATGGATGGATGGATAATGGATAGATTTTTTTTCTATCCATTAGGATTGAAACCAAGTGTCTTGAATGCTAAGCACGTAACTTTTCACAGAACTATACATTTAACCAAATGATTCTTTATATTGTGATTTTCTCATAATATTCTGATTTAAGTTTTAAAAATTTAAATGTTAAAGGATAGTTTGAAAAGAAGAGATATATATAGTGTTATCAGATATTTAGATCTATAGCGTCTAATTAATCTAGGCAAAGTCTTAAATTAATAAGGAAAAGAATGATCCTGTTTTTAGCTGAGTGGTGGTGGAACACGCCTTTAATCCCGGCAGTCAGGAGGCAG